CATTTTGAGTCAACTGCAAATCAATGTTCCTTTTTTGGAGGCGATGGAACAAATGCCCACCTATGCCAAATTTCTTAAGGAAATTGTTACCAAGAAGAGGAAGGTTAAGCAGTATGAAACAATTGCCACGTCAAAAGAATTTTACTCTTCCTTAAGTAAGTTGTCACCAAAGAGACATGATCTAGGCAACTTCATCATCCCATGTTCAATAGGAGACAAATTTGTTGGGAAGGCATTATGTGACCTTGGTTCAAGTGTGAATTTGATGCCTAAGTTAATATTCGTCAAGCTTGGGATAGGAAATGCGAGACCCACCTCGGTCATCCTCCAATTAGCTGATCGTTCACATATTCGACCAGATGGGCGAATTGAAGATGTCATCGTGCGGGTTGACAAGTTTGTTTTTCTTGTCGATTTATTGATTCTGGAATGTGAGGTCGACGCCACAACACCCATCATCTTGGGGAGACCCTTCCTAGCTACCGGTCGTATTCTCATCGACTGTGAGAGGGGAGAGCTGACCATACGAGTGGCTGATCAACATGTAATCGTAAATGTCTTTCGATCACTTAAGTACATGGATGATTCTGAAGAATGCCAGAGCATTTTAGAAGTGGATACAATAATAACAAAAGCAGCAGATAAAGTTTTCCAGAACAATTTCATTCAACTGGATGATAATGAGAGGCTACTGGAAGACTTAACGGTCGGAGAGCCTAATGATTTTTCATCCGAGGAACAGCAGGTTAACTTTCTCAAGGCTAGCTCAGGTACTCATTTTGAACCTCTGAACTTCGAAGAATTTGTTCCTACCAAACCCTCATTACAACATGCTCCTACCCTAGAACTTAAGAATTTGCCACAGCATCTTAAATATGCTTATCTGGGTAGTAACAAAACTTTACCTGTGATTATTTCCTCTGCCCTCACTCCTAACCAAGAATCGAGTTTGCTAAGTGTTTTGTCACACCATAAGAAAACGTTAGGGTAGATGATGGCAGATCTGAAGGGAATAAGTCCAACAATCTGCATGCACAAAATCCTGCTGGAAGAATGCCACGACAAATCCATAAAGCCGCAGCGAATATTAAACCCAATCATAAAGAAAGTTGTGATAAAGGAGATTCTCAAATGGCTTGATGCTGGAGTAATTTATCCTATTTCGGATAGTTTGTGGGTAAGTCCCGTTCAATGCGTGCCCAAGAAGGGAGGCATAACCATGGTGACGAGTGAAGATAATGAGTTGATACCTACACACATGGTTATCGGGTGGCGAATCTGCATGGACTACCGCAAGCTCAACAAGGCGACCAAGAAGGATCACTTCCTTTGTCGTTTATCGATCAAATGCTGGATCAACTTGCTGGCAAGGCATTCTATTGTTTCTTAGACGATTACTCGGGGTATAATCAGATTGTCATCACACCAAAGGACCAACAGAAGACCACATTCATGTGCCCCTATGGCACTTATTCTTTTCGAAGAATGCCTTTTGGACTCTGTAATGCCCCGGTAACTTTTCAGCGCTGCATGCAAGGCATATTCTCTGACATGGTTGAGGATTATCTTGAAATTTTCATGGATGATTTTTTTCTTTCTGAGGACGGCTTTCAAAAATGCCTCGGCAATTTGGTAAAGGTACTGAAGCGATGTGAGGAGGTTGATCTCATGCTGAATTGGGAAAACTGCCACTTCATGGTAAAAGAAGGCATTTTTTTAGGCCACAAGATTTATGCAAAGGGCATTGAGGTAGATAAGGCCAAGATCGAGGTAATCGAGAAGCTCCCCCGCCAATTTATGTCAAGGAAATTCGGAGTTTCCTTGGACATGCTGGATTTTATCGAAGATTCATGAAGGACTTCTCCATAATATCCAAGCCCTTGTATACCCTGCTGCAATAGAACCAACCGTTTGAGTTCGATCAGAAATGCCATGGCGCATTCAAAGAGCTGATGCAAAGACTTATTTTTGCACCAATCGTAGTTCCCCCAGACTTGACGGCACCGTTCAAATTATTGTGCGATACAAGTGATTTTACCGTGGGAGCTGTGCTTGGGCAACGTAGAGGTAAAATGTTTCATGTGATTTATTATGCTAGCCGTACCTTAAATGATGCACAATTTAATTACACTACCACTGAGAAAGAATTACTTGTCGTGGTATTTGCATTTGACAAGTTTAGGCCATACTTGATAGGGACCAAAGTTATAGTTCACACTGATTATTCAGCTATAAAATACTTAGTGAACAAGAAAGAAGAATTCAGAATACCTAGACTGATTAGGTGGATATTACTCTTGCAAGAATTTGATTTAGAGGTAATTGATAGGAAAGTTACTGAAAATCAGGTTGCAGACCACTTATCTAGGCTAGAGAACATTTTAGAAGGTCATGCCATTTTTGACATTAAAGAAGAATTCTCTGACGATAAAATTTTATATGCCACGACAATTCCGTGGTACGCTGAATTTTGGAGGGCATTTCCACACAATAACCTGTGGAGAGCATTTTGGAGGTTCAAGGACTGCTGCAAAGGTCCTACAATCGGGTTTCTATTGGCCATTACTATTTAAAGATGCCCACAAATTTTACAAAGCGTGCAACAGATGCCAGCGCACTGGAAACATTTCCAGACGACACAAAATGTCGCTGCAAAATATTCTGGAGATATAACTTTTCGATGTTTGGGGCATTGATTTCATGGGACCATTCCCATCTTCCTTTGGAGATTTATACATTTTGCTTGCGGTGGAATATGTTTCAAAGTGGGTTGAAGCAATTGCTACACCGAGGAACCGCTTGAAGAGGGTCTCAAGTTCCTTCACAAGAACATATTCACTCGATTTTGAGTACCGAGAGCCATCATTAGCGATGAGGGCACCCACTTCGATAACAGATTAATTGCCAAGACATTACAGAAATATGGAGTGTGACATAAGATTGCCACATCATATCATCCGCAGATAAATGGGCAAGCTGAAGTGTCCAATCGAGAAGTCAAGCAAATCATTGAGAAGGTGGTGAACCCTCGAAGGAAAGACTGGTCCCCCAAGCTCGATGAAGTATTATGGGCCTATAGGACGACATTCAAAACACCTCTAGGAATGTCACCTTTCAAGATGGTATATGGAAAAGCCTGCACCTCCCAGTTGAGTTAGAACACAAGGCATATTGGGCAATCAACAAGTTAAACTTTGACGCACAACTTGCTGGGGAGAAACGATTGCTCGATTTGAATGAAATGGAGGAGTTTCGAGCACAAGCATATGAGAATGCAAAGCTCTACAAGGAAAAGACTAAGAAGTGGCATGACAAAAATCTTTTTCCACGACATTTCCATGTGGGCCAGAAAGTGTTGCTTTTCAACTCAAGGCTCAAACTCTTCCCTGGTAAACTAAAGTCACATTGGTCGGGACCATTTGAAGTTCATAATGTTTACGCCTACGGCGCTGTAGACATCAAGAACATGGACGATAGATCTATCTTTAAAGTCAATGGCCAGCGTTTAAAGGCCTACCAGGGAATCCCGCCTGTACGTGACAAGTCGACGCTGCTCTTGCATGACGTCGACATTGGTCCGACATCTTAAGGATGCCCTGATATTTTAAATTTACTCCTGTGCATAAATAATTTGTACTTTACCATTATTTTAGTCTTTCTTATTTTTAATTAATTATGTTTGTTTTATTTTTGTGCAAGAGATTTCCCACATGACTAGCACGTTAAGAGTATGGATGAAGGTTGTGAAATTTGGGCGTCAAAAGTGAATAGTTAAAGGAGGGAACTTTTTCACTTTTACTTAGGATTAAAATTTTTACTTTTGATTTTTGTTTTCTTCCCACCTAGACCCCACCATTTCATTTTTATCCCCCACATAATCTCATTTTTGTTTTTATCTCCATTTCCTTTTCACTTTTCCTTTAACTTTTTCTTATCTCATCTTCTTCTTCTCTCCTTAACCGAAACTGCCATAACCGTCCAAAACTTCCAGCTTTTTCATTTTTTCCTCATTTTTTCTTTTAACGATGGTTCGTTCCCGCCCTCATGCGCCATCTTCGCCACCATGGTTTATGGATGGTTCTACCCGCGAATGGTTCCAAATAATCAAAAACTGCCATGTCTTTTTTGAGTTAGGGTTTGTCTTCTTTGAGGAGGAAGATGTTGCCTTAGGGAGTGAGGTTCTCGACGTTGTTACCAAACATAAGTGGCAGAAATTTACCAAGCATCCCGCCGTTGTCAACACCACTTTAGTGAAGGAGTTTTACTCTAACATATCCGAGCCAAATCAACATGCTGTGGTGGTTCGTGGCATTTCTATTCGTTTTACTCCTTCTGTCATTAATCTCTATTTTAAAATGCAGGTTGTTGAAGACCACATGCTAGTTTCACTCAAGAAGCTGACAACGAAACTTACCAAGGCATCCTAGAAGACCTCTATTTTCCCGACACGCAATGGAATGGTCAGCAAATGAGCCGCAAGACTGTGGACCGGGAAAGGCTACTTTCACAAGTGAAGTTGTGGAATCATTTCATGAAGCACAAACTCTTACCCACTTCCCATAACACCATAATGTCCTGCCAGCGGATGCTCTTGTTGCATTCAATCATATTCGGGCGAGCCATCGATGTAGGGAAAATTATCGTGGAGCAGGCTCATTTGTGCCTGAAGCGACCTGCAAGTGCCCTGGTATTTCCAAATCTCATCACTGCCTTATGCCGTAAAAAGAAGGTCCCTGAAGAAATGTTTGATGAGATTTTATCGGGTATTACTGGAATCACCAAAGCAAAAAACCCTCTGTTGTTGGGTCACAAAGAAGCCAAAGGGAAGGAAAAAGGGTAACTATATCTCGCGCTACATCATTTCCACATGCCAGGGCAACTTCAAACGCCCTGGAGCAGGCGGTCCGGCGCACTCAAGAGCATGTCGGGCAACTGTTCGAAAAACTAATGAGATATTTCGCCTATGCCAAAGGACGAGATGAATTTCTCACCAGCGCCTGATGGAATTCCTCCCACACACAAACTTTACCATTCCTATCCCTGACATCCTCGTGCCACCGAATGAGGATGCCGAGGCATCTACAAAAATACCTCGTCCTACCAATACCGATGCCCCTCAATCGCACGATACAGAGAGTCCCCAGCCTGCTGAAGCTGAAGAGCCTGCTGAAGCTGAAGAGCCTGCTGAAGCTGAAGAGCCTGATGACCCTGATCCCGTCCATGTTGTGTCGCCCGATGCCGATCAAGAAGCCAACCTCCAACTCGCTCATCGTCTGGAATCTGCCCAACATGTTGAACCCTTAGCGATAGAACACCCTGATATACCACAACCGGCTGCACCAATAGAAGAAGAGCACCCTGAAGTACCCCATCCCACCGAGTCAACCGAATAGTCACAATCCGAGATGCCACGACAAGCTCTTTTACATAGGAGCTGACGTCGCCTTAGGAAGGCATCTCCGTATCAGGAGCCCCCGCTCCCAACCGTTCTAGAAGGACCTAGCACTCCTCCCGCCACACTCGCATCTGACTCTGAACATTCTAGCCCCGCCAAGCTAAGAAAGTGCACTCGCCGCGCGACCGCTGCACCACCACCTGCTTAAAGCCAATGTACCTTGCATTTGCATTGCATTCATAGAATGAAGTTTTCATTTTTCTTAGTCTTAGTAAGCATTGAGGACAATTCTTCTCTCAAGTTTGGGGGAAGTAGGGTTTCCGCATCATTGCATGATAGTATCAGTAAATTAAAAATGCCATGACATTAGTAATTGCCTGAATAGTTTTCTGGAAGTAGTTAAGGATGCCCGATGATGATGAATTTGATGACTAGGATAGAATGTTCATGACTGGTTGAGGATGATAGAACCAACTCTAGGACTTGCTTCTTTGAAACCCTTGATTACACGATTGTATGTTTTCCATGCTTGAGAAATTTAGAAATTTTTTATAGGAGAATTCTTAAAATGTCGGGGCATAAAACTTTGACTGTTGAAAGCCCCGTTTATATGTTTAAAAAAAAGTTTGAAGTTATAAATAAATGCCTAGGTATATCTATAGAGGGATACTCTGCTATGCCATGGCATATGAGTGAATGAAAGATGTCACGGGATGACTCTACCTGACTAGCTCGGGGGTTGAAGGTATGCTCACTTTCACCTAGAGTGTGGGATCGTAGAGTGATGGGCTGACTCCCCTTGTAGCAGAACTAATAAAAGAAAGGAAATGTGGGAGCTAATTTTGAAAATGTCACGGCAAATTAAGAAAGCTTGCGTAGAAAATTTTTAATTTTGTTAAGCATGGACTGGATACAACATGCACACACCCACACAAAGAATCTTGTCGTAGGGGACATTACTAGATTTCAAACCTAGTCTAGCATGTTGAAACCATTTGTGCTGAGGGCTGAAATTTTATCCCATAAGATTATTCTGCTTCTGAACCTGTCATGGTATTTTGTTTTTACTTATCACTATCCATTGCTTGAGGACAAGCAATAGCTTAAGTTTGGGGTATGATAACTCCGTAAAAGGTCACATTTTAGGACCTTTTAACTTAAGTTATTGAATGTATAAAGGCTCATTTAGGAACATATAGATGCATTTAGAAGTATTTAGTTATATGTGGTGAATTTCGATTTGCCGTGTCATTTTATTTTTACAGAGAATGTCGTGACATAAGGAGATTGCTGAGCTAAAGAAAAATGGCAAGTTCGACTGGCATTTTGAAAGTACTTAAAGTGCGAGAAGATATTTTTGAAGCCATCTGTATCCAACTGTCCGAGAGCTCTGCCCAAGAAATCCACCTCGAAGATCCGCCTGGAGGGACTGGTACTGTAACCGGCGGTTCTGCTGATGACGCCGCCTGACCCTACAGATCCTGTCTGTCCTTAGACGCATGCAACGGGATTATGTCAGCCACTCATGCCAGCTACCCAGGCTATATCATCACCTGTCTTGCCCGACTCCCAAATGAGTTAACCATGGTTTGGGAAAGTCAACTCTTAGTTCAAGGGTTAATTTTCCCCTATAAATAGAGGATGAAGCCATAATGTTAGAGACTTTGGTTCCACCCATATTTGAGCTTAAAAAGTTAGAGAGAGAAGGTCTAATCTTTCTTCGTATATCCTACTTGCCATGGCATTTCTCCTTGAAAAGCCTGAGGGAGTGGCATCCTGAGCATCCGAGAGGAGCCAGTTTGCTCGGAGCAGTTCTTGGTGGCCGAGGGAAGCATTGGGCAGTGCACGTTGAAGGCTTTCTCTCCTCCCCTTTTGTTCTTTTCTTTCATATTTTGTTATTGGGTTGTCAGGAACAAATGATACTTGCTTTGTGCTTGTGTATTTTGAACCCCACCATGAACTAATCCTATTTGGTGGGAGTTCACTTGGATGTTTATGTTTGTATTTCAATGAATGGTTGTTTTGATATGCTTTAACCTGTTTTGTTTATGAAACTTAATGCTTTAAGGTTGTAGGAGCTATGAGAGTAACCTTTCCTTAGGAGATCTTGAGGGTTCGAGAGAATGCCTTGGTAATTTATCCTTAGTGTTCAAGAGAAACTAGGGATGAACTATATAAAAAAGGGGTTTTAGGTAGTAACTAGGCCTAATCCACCTTAGAGATAAGGATAGGATTTCATTTGACTAAAAGAAATTGTGTAAGAACGATAGGTTAGATGTTAATGCTACCGCAAAAAGGTATTGCCGAGACATATCATGTTATCCAAACCAAAAGGATCACTGCAGGGGTTTACACCAATCAGTTTTGCCAAGGCATCTTTAATCTGTCGAATCCCTTACTAGAGATAGCATAGGACACCTTAGTAGACTCTGTCGGGCAGGCTGGGCATAGAAAAAATATCATTTGGTGAAGTAGACTTAGATTTTCCCGATGACTCCTATCACTCATTCCCATAGAAGTTTATCGTGTGAGAAAACCAAAGTACTATATATTAATTCCAGTTTTTATATTTTATTTTTCCTTGACATTTCCATTTGTTTGCACTTAACACAATTTAATTTGCCACGACATTTCCATCCACTTTGCCACAACATAATCAATTGCTACCTCACTGCCATCATCCATTTCCACATCAGTCATTCCACATTGCCACATCATTGTCATTTGTATATACCATCACTAACTTTACTTAGGTGACAAAGTAAAGTGCCTTGACAAACCTATTTGATTTCCCCAATTCCCTGTGGAGACGATACTCACTTATCACTGTATTACTTGTTCGATTGTTTATACTTGCACACACATCCGCACTCATTTTATAGTACTCACAAAGAGCGGACAAACACTAAAATTAATAAGCCGCATACTTCTAAATAACCTTAACAAAGAAACTTTAAAACATAAATTACACAAGTCTCTAATTGATAAAGAGGCCTTTCAAGATAAATTTCACCATTCGAAAACACTGGACCGTAATAGCTTAGTGAATCCAAAAGCCACAAAGAGATTATCGTCACTCTTCGTTACTAAATCACACCATGGGCAGCAGCACATCAAAGTATCCAAATAAATCACCTCTATAACAAAACCGCCTTGGTCGGAACCCGGTTGATGATCATCATTGAAAGAAAACTTTGGATGCGAGGAGGGACTTTTAGCTTCCATATTTGATAGGGAAGCGGTGGCGGATTGATGAACGTTGCTCTTGTTGAAGAATCAAACCTAGAAAAGCTCTAGACTCGATGAAGAACAAAGGTGATGAATATGGGAAGGTGGCGGCAATCGCTAGGATTGTTTAGGGTTTCTTTTATGTGCTGGAATCAAGACAACACGATTAGAATAAAATAAACAAAAGATAAATAAATGAAAGATGAAATAAGATAATAAAGAAATCAAAAGATCTCCCTTATGAAGGTGAACGGTAAAGATGATTGATGGTGCGGATGGATTTATGGAAAAATAGATGGATAAGTGTCCTATCGAGCCCTCCTAGTCGCAATGAAAATGCAAACACGATAAATGGCTCTAACAAACCCTCCTAGTCGCGATGAAAAGGCAAATTGGAGTGTGAAGATTAATCTCCCTCACAAGAACTTGAAAGAACTCCAGGAGAAGAAGCTTCGAAGGCACAAGGCAATCAGCACTTGCAAAAACGAACTCTCGTTGTATTATTAATCAAAGAAATCTGATTTACAAAGTAGAATGAAGCCTCCTTTATATAGGGGCTGAGTTCTAAAGGTCCTAAATAACTAATGAATAAAATAATAATAAACTAAACATGTCTTAACTCTAATTCCTAATAAAATAACTAAAGATAATATTTTAACCCAACCTTAATTCCTAATAAAATAATAAATCTAATCCTAAAAGATAATGCATCATCCTATATTAAGTTATATTACAAATAATCAATATAAATATTGAAAATTCGTAATATTTACAAAATAACGTATTAATCCCGTATAGGATTTCCTGCATGCACCGTCTTCAGTAAAATGACCATATCTTGAGTTCCCGATATCGGATTGATGCGATTCAAGAACCGTAGGAAAGATAAGAGACAGACGGTTGTATCTCAAGAGACATGTTGACCAAATAAGATCAGGATCCTATTCAAAAAGTCGTCGCAAGTCTGCTGCTGTTCTGATCTTCTTTTCCAAAGCTTGGACGAGTGGATCATTTGGAAGAGTTATTACTTCTTCCTTTGATGTGAACCTTGTGATGCATGTATCATCCTCCCTTTCTTCAAAAAGATTCGACCTCGAATCTGAAACATTAAAGGGAGCAACATTAGAATAGTTTAATAATTCATTCACATTATGCTTACCGAATAGATATGCTTTGAATCTTCGAGACTTTGTTCTTCTAATAGGTTCGAGTAGAAACATTAGTCCAAAGAAGCATGTATTATGGACTCTGGTGCATGTATCATTCCCCCACTCCTCAAAAGGATTCGTCCTCGAATATGAAAATCCAAAAGAAAGAGAATTAGATGTGTTGAAATAAAAACTTGTGAAACATTTACCAGGATCATTGTGAGGTGTCTTTATGCGTTTTAGTCGAGGTTTCTTCTTTGTAGGAACTGATTTCTTGTAGTCTTGAAATCCTCTTTTGCATACAACTCTTGTAATCTGATGTTTTGGTTGAATTTCAACATGGCGCCGGTCACTGTTGGCTTTCTGTATGATTATTTCAGATAATTTCTCCATGGTTTTATTCGTGTGTGGCGAGAATGAGTGTTTAAAAACCATGTCAACTGGTTTGTTAACGTAATCCCATAAGTCTCCTAAGTGTGGTTCATGAATTAATGATTCCCAGGAGGAGATTTGTGGACTGTATAACCTGTTTAGCAAGGAAACTCATATACAAGATAAAGCTCATTAAAAGCAGTTTTAAATATATGGGTAGAAATATCAAAAATATCCGAGTTATCGTGAT